CTTAGTAATAGGGGGCTTATTCTTAATAAAATTTTTAGTAATTCTAAAAAATCATATTAAAAAAAATTTTAGTAGGCATATTTGCCCACTAGACAGTAATGGATAATTAAAAACTTTATTGAAAAAGATACTTGATGATACTGCTAAATCATTACTGACAACACAACCACTTCGTAAAAGAATCTATGATAATATTAAATTCTTTTATAATATTACAAGGCCCAAATATTTGCTAAAATAGATCTACATTTCCAATGAAAAGAAGGTGACTAAGAAGTGATCTCAACAAAGAAAAAGTAGAAAACTAGAAAGAATTAAAAAAAATAAAAAAATTGGAAAAGAGAGAAAAAAATAAAGAAAAAGATGACAAAAAAAAAAGGATAAAGAAATGGGTAAAGAAAAAGATAAAGAAACAGCTAAGAACAAGGTAAAAAAAAGGGTAGTGAAGTTGAAAAAGTTAAAAAGTAAATAACAGCCAAAGTTTATAGTAAAGACTATAAATTAGCTATAATGTATTTAAAAAAAAAGAGTATAGAATTGGAGAAAGTGCTAAAGCAGAGAAATTCAAGATGCTTTGCAAGCTGCAGATAAAGCAGAGTGTATAGATAGTTCAAGCAAGTATGAATTTGAAGCTAGCAAAATAACTTTAGAAATTTAATGGTTTTTTTTCTTCTATTTTTTATTTTTTTATTTTTTTTTGTTTCTATTTTTTTTTATTTTCTTTCGGGGGTTTTTTTTCTTTTTTTGCTTCTTTGTGTTTAAATATTATATTTTCAATTTTTGTATTCTTTTTTGAATATTTTTTTTCATTGTTTTTCTTGTATATTATTATATTGAATTTATAATAAAATTTGATAATTAAAATTATAACATTAACAATATATATATAATGAATGTTTTTGTTTTACAAATAACATTAGTAAACCAATTGATTGATGAAAGTTTGCTAATTTGTTTCTATTTAATTGTTAAATGATTGTATATCAATTTATAATCGAATTATATTATACTAAATATATATCATTTTTGTGCTGAATGTGAAATGCTGAGTGGTATATGATTTCTGCCATTTGGCACTTTTTTAGCAATATTAGTTTTAAAGAAAATCACATATAATTTACATAGTATTGCTTAATGAATGGCAAAATTTCGACCAGTGCTGGCAACATCTAGGAATTGGTTTGTTAAATTTACAAACTTGCAAGTTTGAAATTACTATTTACTGAAGCTAATTTTTAAAGACCTTTTAGCTTATTATAGTTATCAGGGTCTTTAAAGTTACTAGACACTTTACTGTTATCATAGTCACTAGAAGCTTTATCACTATTATAATTACTAGAGCTTTATATATACAAAAAAATCTACATTAGAAAAATGTATAAAATTATAACTAAACAAAAGTATATAAATTTTGTTTTAATATATTAAAAAAACTATTGAGATCTTTATACTGCATTACTGATTTGGCATTTATATATAGTTAAACCTTTTTGAGATTTGTGTTTTGTAATTAATATTACAACCAAATTGGAATATCCAAGCTTTTTTAACAATTGCATAGTGGTTTTTTTCCCAGAGTAGTTTGAGATATTATAGTTTCCAATTTAAATATCTATAGTTTTACAAATACTCTTAAAATATTCTTACAACTTTCATTTATTCAGAGTATATATATAATACTATTGTCTACTAAATTCTATTAATAAATTAAAAAAAAATTAATAAATAGTTGCAAAATTATGATTGTATATAAAAGAGTATTTATCTGAATTTGAAGTTATTGGCTTTAAAAAAAAATTTGTTATAGAGCACTTGATAAAGAAGAATTTATAGTTATGAATAATGTTTTTAATGTTGGGTAGGCTGATTACTTTAGCCTGTATATTGTAATCTCCAAGTTCTTGTTAATTAGTTTTGGATCTATACAGTTTAATATTAATTTTACTAAACAAAATTGTTAATTTGTAAGATATACTTACATAACACCAACAGTATTGTATTAAAAAGCTTTTGTAACAAGCCTTCTAGCATATTATATTGCATTATAGAGTGATCCAAGATTTGTTTAACCTTATTTAATATTAGCTCATTAGCACTAACTCATTTATCTAGATCTTTCACAAAAAGGTTTTTAGAGATTACATATTACTCTCTACTATTTTTTTAGTTTATTATACATATAACTCTAGACAATTAATCCTTAAAAACTATTTTTATATCAACTTCTTTAATTTTTGCTTATAACTATCATTAGAGCAAAGCTTTTTTAGGGCTCTGACTCACAGTTCTGTTGCCTTGTAAATACTTTAACCTATTTATTATATTAAATTTTCTTGAAGTTATTTCTGTATACTTAACTTGCTAATAAATAGAAGGAAGTCAATAGAAACCAGGCAAATTGTTTTTAAGTAAATTTTTTTTAGACTTTAAATTAAAATATCTCAATGACTATCAAACCAAACTTGATAAAAATTTTTTTATTTTAATCCTATTCAGTTATAAAATTAAAATAAAAAAAATTTTACCAAGTTTGGTTTAATAATTGTTAAGATATTTTAATTTAAAGTTTTAAAAAAAAACTTACTAAAAACAATTTGCCTAGTTTCTATTGACTCCCCCCAAATATTGTTTTAATGTGTTTTTCTATACAAAAAAAAAAAAAGCATAAAAACTTAGTGTAATAGTCTAGTTGTCACTCTCTCCAAGTAGCAGATCTAGAGTTTGAATCTCATGGATGATGATTCAAATAATAGCCTGTGTTTGATAATGATTATTTGATGATCAGTTAGAATTTAGAACCTGTAATCTTTGTTTACACTATCTTAAAATGGGAGCTTCAACACATAAATACTAAGAAACCAGAATTATCAAAACTCATTTGGAAGGACCCGAGTAAGGAGGTAACTAGAAACCTTCAACAGTACTACAGAAAAATCTGAATTTGGAAGTTTGGGCCAAGACTAGAGAACTGAATAACAATAAATCCTTAAGTGGAGAGATTTACCAACTGGGCAACTGGGTCACCTTGAGCCACACTAGTTTTATCATATGTAATAAAAACGTATATATGATGTTAAACATAAACAGATAAATGAAATTATATTAAATCCATATTAATACTCGATTTGGTTAATAATAAATAATTAATGATAATAATACAGATAATAAAAAAATAAAGTAATGCTAGCTTCAATATATTGTGATAAGCAATTTCTAAAAGCAGACTAGCAATTTTATAAAATAGCTTTAAAGAACAAATTATAATTGATTGCCTGGTTAAAATTTTTTTGCACCGATAAAAATAATGATAATCATAATAATTACAATTATAGTGAGGATAACTTCGTAAAAAACAAAGAAAAAGATCAAGAAAACAAATATATAAAGAAATAATTTAATTAAAATTGTTTCAGGATTGAAGTTATTCTCAAACCACTGCAAATTCAAGTTTGATTCTTGATTAATCTTCGTTTCAGCAAAGGGATCATTCGCATTTGATTCTTGATTAATTTTCGTTTCAGCAAAGGAATTATTCGCACTTGATTCTTGATTAATCTTCGTTTCAGCAAAGGGATCATTCTCATTATGTAGTTTTCTCACTTTTGGAACACAAGCCAGAGAAATTTTATCAAATACTTTATTACAATTTTTCTCATTCATTGGATTAACTTGCATATACTCAATAGCCCCAATCCGGTTTGAAACTTCTTCTGCCTGTTCTCTACTTACAAATTCTTTACCCCTATTTTTTCTATTCCTTTCTTCTTCAACACTTTTGAAAAATTTAGCATAAGTAAAATCCTCATAATCGATAATCGGTATCGAGTCATGTATTTGTTTATTATTCCCAACCAATAATAAAGGTGGCATCTTATATGGAAAATTTCTTTTAATGTCAGGAATCCATACTTTCTCGATATTAGTTAATGTTTGTGGATCATCTAATGCAAAGCATAGAATAATTGCGCCAGTATCTTTATATTCGATCTCACGATCAAGTTTCCCGAGCTCAAAATGACCGGTTGTATCATATATTGAATAAACGAAGTAATGACATTTTGGATACCAATCAAAAGGTGCTAAAGGGAAATAAAACTGTTGATAATACATACTAGAAGAATAAAAAGCACGACGAGCAAGGGTTGTTTTTCCAACATCACTATCACCAATTATTGCTATTTTTAACCAGATTGGGTCCAAATTAAAATCCATAAAATAAGTAGGATTTGACGCTTCTACTTTCGTATCATTAGTGACTTCAATTGTTTTGATAACAGTTGACGAATTTTCACAATATTTTTTATGTGTTTTCCAGTCATTTTTTTGACATTCTTTAGAGCAGTAATATATTTGTTTACATCTCGAACAACAACGTTTGGTAGGTTTCTTACAGATGTTGCACTTATTATCATTCATCAGACAGCTATATGAAAATCCTAAAATTATGAAGGACTTTAAATACGCAACCACCAAAACCTGATCATTACGCAGACTTTAAACTATTGATCACATTGTGGCACTAAGTTAATGCGTGTACGTACGAAATTGGAAACAATAGCAATAGTGCATATGACAAGTAATCATGTGTCATCTAGAGGTTTATCGTGTTAGTAATTGGTTTAAGATATTTTATTTAATTACACAAAAGCTATCAAAATACGTATAACGCTTAATTTGTAAAAATAAATTTTTTAAAAAATTTTCAGATTTAGAAGAATCTTTCACATTATCAATAACAGCCCACCCAATCACAGGATCACTACCCAAATTTTTAATTTCTTGATTAGATCCAATAAATCCAGTTATAAATTTCAAAGAAAAAGAAGGCCCAATATAAACAGTAAACGGAACCTCTACTACACCGTCTGGAATATCAGCACGGTCTATAGAATTAGAATGTAAAGCTTGTCCTGTACGATCATAAGGAAAGAAAGCTGAAATCCATCCTGTAACTATAGCCTCTCCTCCAGAACCATACAATCTCATAATCATAACCTTATTCCAAAACTCTTCACCAACTCCACCACGGCAAGTCTCTACTAATTTCCAAATCACTGGTTCAAGGCTAAATTTAAGTTTCTTAATTCAATAACTTTTTCGTCTCCAATCTTCAAGTGTACCTTCAAGTGTGACTTTTGGAATTCCACAAGCGCACGTGAACCCAAACTTAAAGTAAGCCTTAACCATATCTAATACGACTTGCTGCTAAGGAGTTTGAAGTTGTTGTTGAGAAACCACATTCCAATAATTGGTGAGGTCAATTTTTTTCACACGCTAATCAGTTTCTGTAACAAGTCTATTTATAGCTTCTGCCAATTACCCTCAAGAGTTTTTTCACGTGGATTTTTGTCTAAGATATCATCAGCAATGAGAATAACGTCCTCTTTTCCTTCATGTCGAACGAAATTTTTACGAAATTTCTTAGCATTATAATTAATATGATGACTTACGCCCTGAGAACCATGTCGTATCTAAAGTTACCATATATCTGAAGTTGTTGACATGCCTAAAATCAAGCCCCTGAAATTAGATCTTCATACATATAATTCTGGTTAGGTGCAACTTTATAAATCTAAAGTTGCAACTTCAGATAGATAGTAACTTTAGATACGACAATTATCTACATAAACTCAATGCTAAGATTCTAACATTTAATTATTTCATTTATCTATATTATTGGATATAGATTAAATTATCATAACCTATTTAAATATTTAAATTAAATTCGCTTTCAAGGCACACTCGAACACAATCAATGCTTAGAGGTTTTTTCTTTTTTTTTGCATACTGTATTTTAATATAGTCTCTTTGATAATGGCTAAATAGTATTTAAACTCATTTAGAAAATGTAAAGAGGCTAATTTCAATTTTATTTTTATTTTTCAACTAGATATTTTCTTAAGGATTTATCATAAAATATTGATCACAGTTCCGAGATAAAATGCAATTTTGAATTTGATTATAAGCCAATTAGTTTGCTACCACTGCTTACATTTATATCAAAGTTTTTAATATGCTTAAGTATTTTTAGCTCCGAAAAATTTGATAATCTTCTCGACATTTTTTAAAAACTTCAGAGTACTTTTGTTGACAGTTTTTCTGAATCTTTATTCAACATTGTTTCATCATGTTCACATAACATTGTGGGACTTCGTAATTATTGGGCGGTATAATAATATTACAAATTATTTGTATTATTTGATATTCATTTGGCTTATAATTACACAATACAGCTTTACCATACAATACTTCCCATATGATCATGCTGAAAGGGCTGCTTCGCATTCACTATATATTACAAGCCAAATCCTTATTCGCAGCTATCCGCATAATAGATCATCTATTTGCAGTTATTTGCAGATTTAAAAAGGATTACTGGATTAACAAACAAAATCATATAAGCTATCAGCTATGAATATACGCACGTACGTACTTATAATTTGGCTTGTAACACTAGTACAGAGTACAAATAGGCATACATAAATAGTACATTGTGTTCGTTAATATTTCTATAAATTACTTTTGTATGTTCACCGTTCGTTAACAAAAGATCTGAATTGAATTTTAGCCTACTGCAATGGGAATTTAGAATTAATTACTTCGTATAATATAGTTTTACCGACTGCATGGGATATTGAAAATAAATCACCATTTATTGACATAGATTCAAGTGGTCTTAAAGTGGGTTATACAGGTAATATGAAAATGAGAAATCTCGCAGAAACATATTTAATGTGTTACTGTAATCATCGGCATTTAAAAGAATATCATCATAGCTATTTGATTTATTAAAAACCTTTTAATTAAAGATCCTGATGAATATAAAGCTGTAATAGTTCGAGCAAATAATCCAATCCCTACAGAGTGTGGGATATTTTACTTTGAAATTAAAATTATAAACAAAGGACAAAATGGGTAATATTAATAATTATTTAGTACCATAAACATTACTTCGTTCTGGCGATTTTTTATAATCTTTTAATTCTATTTTCTTAATAGAATGATTGGAATCGGATTTTGTACAAAACAAAGTGATAAAAAAATAGACGATTCAGATTATATAAATAATATGTTCATGCCTGGTAATAGCAAATCTTTTTTTTTATTTACTTATTATTATAGATTACATCTATATCATATATTTTAGGTCAGGAAAATGAAACATGGGGGTGTGGTTACCATGGTGACGATGGATATTATTATTGTTCAGGAAATGGTGGGCTGTATGATTTATCAGATCTTCCTGGATATACTACCGGTGATATAATTGGATGCTACCTAAATTTTAGAAATAAGATAGTATTTTATGCTAAAAATGGAATTAACTTAGGTAACAACATTTAGAATTAAAAGTTATAATTTTAAAACAAATAGGCCGAAATTTAATAATCATAAAATATTTTAAGGAATTGCGTGCAATCTACCTAACGATTTGGAAGGCAATCTATATCCTTGTGTTGGATTTAGATCGCAAGGCGGAACAGTAGAAGTGAACTTCGACAACGAAATTTTTAAATATTCCGGTAAATTTATTCAAAAGGTTTAATCATTTTTTACTTATAAAATTTAATCTTGTCTATATGTATTTCGATTGACAGCAATAACTAATGAAGACATTAATAAAAAATCAAAGAATGCATTAACGTTGGAATATCAAGAAGAGGTTTATTTTATTATGGGTGGATATGAAAATATGCTCGTTAATTTAACTGATGAATTAACAAAATCACTAGAAAAAGATCCACGTAATGTATTTGGATTAAGTTACCTGGGAAAAATATATTTTATTATGGGCAAATATGATATGGCATTTGAAAATTTAACTAGATTACTAGAAATTGATCTAGATAATGCAATGGCATTAAAATATCGAGGAGAGATTAATTATATGATGAAAAGGTATAATGAGTCAGTCGATGACTTGGAGAAATTATTAAAAATTAAACCAAATGACGTATGGGCGGAAAAGGCCCTTAATTTAGTTTATAGATTGTAAGCATTATATGCATTTGTAAATTTTAGCAGAATAAGAAAACTTAGAAGTAAATAACAATTCAATTACCACTTATGTCAACCATAAGTATGTAAGTACAGTAACAGAGTTTATAGTCAATCACTATAACTAACATATCTCTAAATCGCTTGTATCACCACAATAGTCTGTAAGAATTTTTTACAGTAAATCACTATAGAAATCATGTTCATTCCAATACAAAACTAACATTTCCATATTCAAATCACTTGTATTAATATAGCAAGTATAGTAAACCAGAATTTTTTACAGTAAACACTATAGAACCACGTTCATTCCAATACAAACTAACAACCATATTTAAATTATTTATATCACTATAGCGAGTGAGTATAGTAAACCACAGTAAATCACTATAGAAATCACGTTCATTCCAATACAAAATTAACATATCCATATCTAAATCACTTGTATCATTATAGCGAGTAAGTACAGTAAACCAGAGTTTTTTACAGTAAATCACTAGAAATCGCGTTCATTCCTAACGTATTCATATCTAAATCATTTATATCACTATAGCGAGTAAGTACAGTAAACCAGAATTTTTTTTACAGTAAATCACTATAGAACCACGTCCATTCCAACACAAACCTAACATTAAATCACTTGTATCACTATAGCAAGTAAGTACAGTAAACCAGGATTTTTTACAGTAAATCACTATAGAAATCACGTTCATTCCA